TTGGACAAGATGCTAGTTTATCACTGCTGAGGCACTACTAAAATGGAGCAGAGAAGACTGGAATGCTCAGTATTCATGGAGAGCCACTGGTACTGAAACGAGGCACTGTGTCTTTAGCAACCACAGTTTCCCCAGATGTTGCTTATCTAAGTACACATAGGTGCTAAGTGAATATTAAAAATTATGGTTGAGTAGGTCGAGTAAATTATGTTAGGATATACCCTGTGGAGATCTCTTTTACTGCATTGTTGTTTAGTTAGCTCAGTTACTGACAGGTAGGGATATGGTTTTAATGGAAAGGAAACCACTTGCCTTTAAAAGCATTATGTGTTGCTAAAAGAAAGTTCAGGTTCATGCTTGACTTATTCCAGGCCTTTGACTCTTGTCAGTACAAAGCAAATTTATTTTAAAAAGATAGGTAATAGTCTAGGATAATGGAATACAGGCAGTTGAAAGGAAAATTCTTAGCAATTAAATCCATACCTTGGAAGGCTGAAGAACAGGAAGTCACAGTGTGTGTGTGTGTGTGTGTGTGTGTGTGTGTGTGTGTAAGTAATTGCAAGTGAATTTGTGAATATAATGCTAGGTGTTTTTTAAAGTATATATGTAGATTTTATTTCTACCAAGTTCTAGTTGCTATTAAAATTTCTGTAACCATGTTAGAAGATTCTGATTCAATTATAGGAATTTGATAGGAAGAGAATTTTTGTAAAGGAGCAAGCATAAGATGAACAGGAATATGACATGACATCTGTGAAGTTATCATCACTAAGCTCATAGAAAGAACTTTGTGGGGGTGTGCCCCTTAAAACAAATGGTTTTTTAATTTAAAAAACATACCAAAAAACGGTGTTTAAACCTAGAGGCTTAGTTACTATTTCCATTTCCATTATCTGTTTTCATCACTCATAGCCTAATAAAGACTGACTTCTATATATTTGACTTAAATGCTGTTAAGATGTGGAAAAGGTTTAGTAAACCAAATTTAGAAAATAACATCAGCTGTTTGCTAAGTTTAGGTTATACATGTGTAAATATATATACAGAAATACTTACTGATCTTTACACAGTAAGTACCTAAAGACCATATGTAAATTTATTACTTTTGAATGTAAGCAGTTTAAATTAAACCTGTGGTGAGTCCTTTTATTGTCAAAAGTCAGTCAACACTAATTTAACCTGTTTTGTATATTTGATTCTAATATTAGACTTTTTCAAAGTGAAACCTGTATATGCATATGGAATATGAGCATGCATATATGTACAAAAGTCCTTTAAAAGGAGTTCAGCTTTCTTTTATAAACACCAAAGTTCACCATACTTGTAAAATGTTTTTGCTGAAGTTTGCATCATTGACTCTCAAATTTATACCTCTATGTATGAAATACACTGCTAGGACTATATATGCATATATTCATGTAGATTTTTGTCAACTCCTTCCTTCAAAAAAAAAAAATGACCATTTTTATAAAATAAATATTCATAAAACTAGCATTTTCACCTTACACAGAAAAAATAATTTATTCCACTCACACAAGGAATTTCTATTTTGTAAAATGTAGCTTGTATTTCAGAGTGTAATAAATCTGTAGGAAATAAACTTGAGTGGATTAAGTGATTATTTCTAATATACTTACTAGTTTATTTTTGTTACAGATGTTTCTCCCCTGCCCCCTGCAGATACCCTCCTCCCAATCCTCCCCCCCATATTTACTTTAGTGTCAACAGCTATTTGAGGTGATGAAAGAAGGAGGTAGAAGGATTAGGTTAACAAGTTTTTAAAATTGCAATGAAAGTTTGTTGTGTTTCAGTGAGATATATTAATGTAACAACATGTATACATATTAAAACCCAGCAATACCATTTTTTCATTTTCTGTGTACTTATGCAACTGCAACTATCATATCTAAGACCACAGTAGCTCTTCCGATCTGAGTCATATCTAAGACCTTGAAAATAAACCTGTGATATCCACAAGGGTTGGTTTGCAACACTAAGAATTAAATGAGTATCTATAAAAGAACAAATATACACACACAATCAGGATTTAACACAACAAACTGGGCTGTGTTTGTAGCTTTTGGGCTGGCCTGAGAAAATGTGATCTGTGGATTAGTACCCATTTATGAAAAGATTGTGTTCTGCAGTGTCCTCTTTTCTTTTGTACTCTTGATTCTTCTCTTTCAAAGTAGGCCTTTAGTTTTCTACTTTGAACACAATTTGAGTCTTTAGTCATTCCTACCCTTAAACCAAACTTGAATTTCCCCCATCCTTTAAAACATCGGTGTTTTTTTTCCCTAAGTTGACTTCCCAGCTTGGGTACTTAGTGACTTTAGAATACAACAAAATTTGCATTTTCTATTAAGTAAATTATCCATTTCCTGCATTTCATTTAATTGTGGTGCTTTGAAAAGGGAGCACCTATTCAAGAGAGCCTTCTTCCCTAATGATGTGCTTTCTTCTTGCTAAATCTGGCACCTGACCCAACTGTTGTGGCTCAGTGGTTGAGCATCGACCCATGCATCAAGAGGTTGCTGGGCCCTGGCTGGTTTGGCTCAGTGGTAGGGCGTCAGCCTGTGGACCAAAGAGATGTGGGTTCAATTCTGGTCAAGGCCACATACCTCGATTTTGGTTTGGTCCCAAACTGGGTCTCTCTCACATTGATGTTTCTCTCTCACTCTCTCTTCCTCCCTCCCACTCTATCTGAAGATAAATGGAAAAAAATGTCCCCGGGTGAGGATTAAAAAAAAAAAAAAAAGGTCACTCGTTTGATTCCCTGTTGGGACATGCCCAGGTTGTGGGTCAAATCCCCAGTGTAGGGTATGCAGGCGGCAGCCAATCAATGTTCTCTCATCAGCGTTTCTCTCTCCCTCTTCCTCTCTAAAAATCAATAAAGAAAAAAAAAAATCTGGTACCTGTCCTTGAATGGAAAGCTCCCATGGTGATCCATCTAGAGTGAAAACCTAACCAGCCCTCTCCTTGCCCCTTCTTTGTCTGAAACTTTTTATTGGTTCCCTATTTCTTACCTACCAAGTAAATAAATGAATTCAAAGTAAATAAATGAGTTCCAAGTTAATGTGCAATATAAGATACAGTCTTTACCTACATTTCCATCTGAATACTTCCTGCTTCAACCTGAAGGCTTCCTTTGCCTGCTTGTACCCTGTAGCTCCCTTCTTCCCCCTCAGTAAATCAGTTAACTTTAGGACCTCTGGCTTGACTGGAACTACTCCCCCTGCGTGGAATGCCCTTCCTCCATCACTGTCCCAAGGCTAACTTGTGCTCAACTTTGAAGGTCTAGCAAAGGCGTTCTCTATCCTCTTCCTCCAAGACGCCCAATGCTCCCATCTTTGTCAAGGCCTTGGGTGTACCAAATCCTGATTATATCTCATGAGACCACATCGTCTCTTCTGCGTTGGGATCAGTCCGTCATTTTTTTTTTCCTTTTTATTTAGTTCTAGAACCAAGTACAGGTTGCTGGGCGGTGAGGTGGGATATGGTGTGTGGAGCCATTGGCACATTTGCTTCACAGAGTGACAACCATTTCAAAGATCAAACATGTAAAATTCATAACTGCAGGAAGTAGCTGCTGCCTGAGAACACTGGCCATTACATATAATTCAGCTTGTGTATTTCCTACATAGCTTTCCCCCAGCAGCCTTCCTTGTGTCTTGTGTATTCCCTTAGATGCAGGCATGTGAGCATTCATCTGAACCAGATCTTAAAATTCTGTATGGTTTTACAAATTGGAACACACTAAATGTACACTAATAAGATGTATTTACAATATGAGATTCTAATGAGATAATGATATTAGGGCCTTTCTATCATCTCTCTGAATCCCTTTTTATCTCTCAGATTGTGGGATTCAGAACTAATATGTCAAAAATACAAAATACCTGCTCATCTTCCTAATTTGAATATTTCAGTTATTCTAAAGACAGTCTTTGTTCTTGTCAGAGTTCCCGAGAGACTATGTCGTTGTAAGTAAATAGGCCGTTCTTCCTCAGCACTCTTACGAGGAGAGTAACTAATTGGTAATCGGACTACATCAACAGCCTGATTTGTACTACAGAGGGAGAAATCATGCTGCTTCATGCCCAGTGAGCACTTACTGAGAACATTGAAAAGAGTTTCAAGACCTGGTTTTCAGAATGTCAATGAAAATCTCTTCCCATAAGTCTGATTTATCTTCATCTACATTTTCCTTCTTTAGCCTATAGTGCTCTTTTCCTGGAAGTGACTCACATAGGGCAGCACCTGTCAGACACAGGCCAGTGCATACTATAAAGAATTCCCCATGAGCTGCTATACTGAGATTCGTGTTTACTTTCAGGTAAATTCCATTATATGTCCTGTTTTCCTTTTTTGTGTGTATTCTTTAAAAATATGTTTTTAGTGATTTTAGAGAGAGGAAGGGAGAGGGAAAGAGAAACTTCGATCGGCTGCCTCCTGCATGCACCCCTACCAGGAATCGAACTGTAGATCTTGCGGTACACGTGATGATGCCCAGCCAACTGAGCCAGCCAGGCTAGGGCTGGTTCGGGTTTCATCTGGAAACTCTGGGAGCACATTTCCAAGACTGGGAAGAACAGTCAAGGTTAAGAACAAGTGAGAAATTCTGTACAAATAACAGAACAACTTAGTGACGTGATTAAAAGGAACTCAAGTATACATGAGATCTTTGACAAATTGTAGATTTTCATGTTTATTTCAAAATAGCTTGGGAAGGAAATCTTACAAGCAGATCTTATGGGCAAAACAAATAAGAAATAGCAAGTAATAAAAAGGATTATTATGACATCTTTAACTACCCTTTCAGTACATTTGCACATTCTGGATAAAATTATGTAAAGCAATGGAGAAATACTCTGTTAAAAGTGTCTCAAAGAACATCATTCAGATTGAGTATAAAATACTTTGTGGTCTCTTCAGCATCAAGATTTTACATACTTTGGTTGTCTCTTGAGTTAATTCGTCCTTTATAGCACAAAGTGATTTCACACCATACCCAAGATGCGGGCCACCCACCAGCTACATGGCATGATAACTCTGCAGGCTGAACGGCAGCCTTGATAATTATAGGGCCACGGATAGAAGCCCCCCAGGGGCTCACAGATCTTCTGGCAATGGGTGTAGCTCCGCCTGCATTCTATACAGCAGACTCCTTCGTGGTCCAGTCTAGGGTCGAATGTCATGCCTTCCCCTTCCTGCTGCTGTGGAACAGAAGAGAATTATTTGTTTTCTTTGTTATGAGAAATTTATTTTAAAATAAGATCCTGAATGTTTCACTGCTACAAGAAATCAGCATAATTTTCTGTAAGGAGTTTTCCTTTTTTAAAAACCCTCACGTGAGGATATTCTTTCATTTATTTACAGACAGAGTGGGGGGGGGGGGAGAGACATCAGTGTGAGAGAGAGAGATCAGTGTGAGAGAGAGAGATCAATTGGTTGCCTCCTGCACGACTTTGAACAGGGCTGGGGACCGAACTGCAACTGAGGTACGTACCCTTGACCAGGATTGAACCTGGGTCTCTTTGGTCCATGGGCCGATGCTCTACCTGCTGAGCAAATTGGCCAGGCTCTGTAAGGAGTTTTCAATCATAATTTTATAATTCAGAATTTCTTCTAACATTAAGGAATTTCCACCTACCTAATCTGTCACTGGCAGGAAGGTGTTTTTTTAAATGTTAGGTGAAGTTTCTCCATTCTTTAAATGAGCCATGGTAACCACTCAATAGGGACTCATCTTGTTTTAAACAAAAACAAACAGGAATCATGATTCAAAAGTAGCATTTCTGCCACTGTTAATTTTAAGTAAGGGGAACTGTGGTGCGTTTCTGTAGTGATGGCTCCCAGGACTCCCGGGGCACACGTGATGCTCCTTGATGCAGCTAACACTGCTCTTCCACTTGCGCTGGCTGAAAGCACTGCGGGGCCACTCAGCTTCCGCGTTACTTCAGTGTAAGGGTCGCACTCCGGAAAGGCCCCGCGTGCTGTGTGCAAGTCCAGACCTTCACCGCCTTCCTGTTTCTGTGGGCCAAATTAGCCACAGAATCCTACCGATGAAGTAAAAGTTACCTGCACAGCTATGTTTTTCACACCTGGAGAGATCAGAGCTGGAAGGAACTTCCCGCTGCCAAAGTTAGTATCTGGCTTTCCTTTTTATGGACATCTAGGGGTATAGTTTCTGTATTATCTTTAATACAGTATTGAATTTTATTGCTCAGAAGCCCTTATTGTTAAATTCCTTATTCAATTTAATCCTCTCTAAAGGCAGGTGAACCTAGGCCGGTGCAGTACCAAATGGGCTCGAGCAAAGTGAAAGCAGCCCAGTCACTGCTTCTGGTATAAAAAGTCTCTATGGAGGGAGATGGCGCTTTTTATTATGAGAATTTCAAACATACTGGACGTGAAGAAAATTGTATACTGAACATCATCTAGACTTGACAGTTGCTAACTTTTTGTCAAATTTGCTTGACTTTTTTTTTTTTTTGTATTGTGAAATGAATTTAAAGACCATTGAAGACATTTGACCCATAAATACATTAGAATGTAGCTCCAAAATAGAGTATTTTCCTACACAACCACACTGCCATTATCACGCCTAACAAAATTAACAATTCTTTATACAGCATATGTTCAATTTCTGTCATCACGATGTTTGTCTTACTCCCTTGTACCATTCTTTTATTTTTCAGACTCCCTTTTGCTTTGCTTATCTCTTGAAGTAGGTTCATCTGGGACAAAAAAAAACATTTCATTAATAACCATAGCTGACTCTTCTGGAGCAGGGAGAGTCAAAAAGCCTGTTGATTGAGACATTTCTTTATCTCAGGGTTTAGCAAAGCCTTGTTAAGATTAAAAAGTTGGGAGGAAATCTCAGGTTGTTGCTCTAAGATACTTGAAAGACAGATCATGGGGAGGTGTTTCTGCTTAAAGGTGAACACGAAGTAGAGAAAAAAATGGATGCGATTGGAGTTTTTAAAAGAAGATGGAACGCTGAAGTCTGGAAGCCAGGTAGACAAAGTCATCCTCCCACCTGTGAAGGGGCTGATGCCCTTATCCTTTGAACCAGATTCATCTAACCCAGCCACCTGGGGAATAAACTGGATTAATTTTCTGTTTGTGTATTCAGATTTTATTTCCTTTTTATTCTTTGCATTTTAGGGAATGAAGTACTGTGGTGTCCTGAATTTTCTGATAAGCCTTGGGTTATTTAAAAAATACCTTTTGCTTTAAATCTTTAGAAAATATATTCATCTGAAATGATAAACTAGAAAATATATCTGTAACACATGATGAAACAGAATAGACCTGAAGATGTTACATAGGAAAAATATACACTAATGGCTCATCTGTATATGAAAAGATGCTCGACCTTACACATCATTCAAGACAGGCATGATAAAGCAACTAGGAGGTAAATTTTACATCCCAAAAAGCTGGCAAAGATTTTTTAAAAATTTGATAATAAACGAGTCCTTTTATTACTATTTGAAGGCATGTAGCTGGCATAATTTCTTGAAAGACAATATGGTATCCTCTATTAAAATATAAAATTCATATCTACCTTGACTCAGCAGGCCCAAAAGTCAGTATTTATGTTAAAGATATATTCCCTCGTGTGTACAAGAAGTATAGTAAGACTGATGATAGCTAAGTCTGAGCAATTGCATGTGCCAAGCACTGTGCTAAGAGCTTCACCTTATTGATACCTTCTCATAACCCCCTAAGGTATGTGTGTACAAGGTTGTGTGCTACTAACAGTATATGTAATAGCAAAAGACAAGGAAATAATTTACATGTCCACCAAAGTAAAACCAGTTAAGTTACTGTACATCTACGCACACAAGGTAATATGCCGTGAACATTAGAATGGATGAGGTAGAGCTATAGAGGAGAAATAGAGCACTTCAAAATACTGTATTGTCGCTGGAAAGCAAGGCACAGGAGTTTTGTATGCTCTTTTGCGTTCAAGTGTGTGTGTGTATGCAAATAAATTGGGCAAGTAATTATTAATAGGTTGCTCTGGGGAGGGTGTCTGATGTGAGAGAAACTCACTATTCATTGTATACCCTTTTATACTGTTTGTAAAAAATATATGTATGTGGTTTTTTAAATAATATGTTTTCATTGATTTTTTTTTAGGGAGAGAGAAACATCGATGTGAGAGAGAAACATCAATTGGCTGCCTCCTGCACACCCCCTACTGAGGATCGAGCCGGAAACCTGGGCATGTGCCCTGACCTAGAGTCAAACTGGGACCTCTCAGTTTATGGGACGACACTCAATCCACTGAGCCACACCAGCCAGGCTGCATGTGCTGTTTTTCAATTAAAACACTAATTAGAATTACAGTCATCCCTCGTTTATCACATTTCATCTGTTCCAGACGCTAGTGGTTGCACCTGGTGTTGAAGGATTCCTGGGGTGCTTGAATATATAGGCCTACAGTCCATACGTACAGTAATTTTAATCGTAATACAGGGATGTATAATTGACTCAGACAACCAAGCGTGCACTGTATCATTTTCACTGTCTCAATCAACTTTTAAATGAATATATTTGAAAAATCACGATAGAGTGAAGCCGCGAAGCACGAAGTGGGACAACTGTACTTATTTTTCTACTTCTACCCCCTGCAAAGTATAATGGTAAACAATACTTTGCGGAAGACTTGAGAAGTTGTTAGCACATTTGTGCCTTCCTTCCAAAACCCAGTTCTCAGTGTTCCCGTCTAAAATACTGTATCTGTGTACGAATCTATATGCAGACTGGACCGGATGTCCCCAAAGGCAGAAGTTCCTTTGTTTATCTGTGTGCACAGGGCCTGGGTAAGCAGATTCTCAACAAATGTCTGTTGAATGGATGAATAAAGTGGATATAAAGGGTGGGAGAAGAATGCTTTCCTTCTATGTGTTGCCCATTGGGCAGCACACTCTTGGAAACATTTTAAAATAAATCCCGCCCTGGCCGGTTTGGCTCAGCGGTTAGAGCGTCGGCCTGCGGTCCAGAGAGACCCGGGTTCGGTTCCCGCTAAGGGCATGTACCTCGGTTGCAGTTTGTCCCCGGCCCTGGTTGGTCGTGCGGGTGGCAGCCACTCGATGTGTCCCTTCACATCGATGTTTCTCTCTCTCTCTTCCTCTCTCTCCCTCCTGCTCTATCTGAACAAAAAATGGAAAAATGTCCTCGGGTGAGGATTAAAAATAAATAAATAAATAAATAAATAAAATAAATCCCTGATATGAATTTGTTTTTATGGATTTGCCTGTGACTCAAGAAACAGAGCACGGAAAACAACCTTGAATAAGCCTTACAACCAATCAGGATTTTGCACTACAGAGGCAATGCTTTAAGTGTTCTTACCTGAGTTTATAAACCTTGCAACAAACAAATGAAGATGTATTTTTATTTATTTATTTTTAATCCTCACCCGAGGACATTTTTCCATTTTTTGTTCAGATAGAGTGGGAGGGAGGGAGGGAGGAAGAGAGAAACATCGACGTGAAAGGGACACATCGAGTGGCTGCCACCCACATGACCCAACCAGGGCCGGGGACAAACTGAAGATGTATTTTTAAAATATTGAGAAAAAGTCTCAGTTGAGCCCTGGCCGGTTTGGCTCAGCGGTTAGAGCGTCAGCCTGCGGTCCGGAGAGACCCGGGTTCAGTTCCTGCTAAGGGCACGTACCTCGGTTGCAGTTTGTCCCCGGCCCTGGTTGGGTCATGTGGGTGGCAGCCACTCGATGTGTCCCTTTCACGTCGATGTTTCTCTCTTCCTCCCTCCCTCCCTCCCTCCCACTCTATCTGAACAAAAAATGGAAAAATGTCCTCGGGTGAGGATTAAAAAAAGAAGTCTCAGTTGAATACTAAATGCTGGTTGGAAACCTCAAGTAGAAAAACCCCCACATCAGTGTCACCCTCACATCATTCACCCCCACATCAGTGTCACCCCACGTCAGTCACCCCCATGTCAGTGTCACCCTCACATTCACCCCCACATCAGTGTCACTATATCAGTGTCACCCCCACATCTGTCACCCCATGTCAGTGTCACCCCCACATCTGTCACCCCCATGTCAGTGTCAGCACATCAGTGTCACCCCCACATCAGTGTCACCCCCATATCCGTGTCACCCCACATCAGTCACCCCCACGTCAGTGTCACCCCCACGTCAGTGTCACGTTCAGTGCATTCGTCTGGGCGTGTCACGCAAGCACCAGTACGCACGTGGTAAGGGTTGTCTGGATTGAAGGGGTCTGAGTCCTCCTGAACACTGGGTCTGGTTTTGTTATTTGGTCTTCCGGGGCCTGGGTTGCCTCGTGGTCCACTGTGTGGTCTTCTTGTGGTAGTTGTAACAATTTGTGTTACCAGTTCTCTTCTTTCCCTCTGGATTTCTGCAAAAAAACAAACAAAAATCTGCAAGTTAATTCCTTTATTTGAATAATTAAGGAAGGTTTGTGTTTATTGGGGTAAAAAACATAAAAAAGGACACCCAAACACAAACATGACTAGATACCACTTAAATCTGTACTGATGATTTTTGTAATAATAAAGCAGATTTTAGAGTCTTGGTTTAGTTAAACATACCGATAGCTAGAATTCGGTTTTATAGCACTAACTGAGGTAGACGTTATAAGACAGTTGACAAAATCCACCCACAATCCCGTCTTCTTTGCCTCTACTCTAAGGGCTGTGAAAGTAGAATATCACTCACTTCCCGAGTCTGCCTGGCAATAGGAGTACTCAGATGAGACATTTCTGCTCAGTGAGGGACAAGCAGAATACACAGCTAAGTAAAGCTTTCGCTTTCTTAGTAAAAAGGGACAATTATGGCCTCCTATGTCTGTCTTCCTTTCTTGAATGTAGGTGTGATATCTGGGTTATGAGAGCCAATTTGTGACCAGAAGTGATAGGCACAAGGATGATGAGCCAGCGTGCTATAGGAAGAAAAATGGTAAGCAAGACAGAGACATGATGATATCACTGAGTAGCTGATAACACTAGAAACGTATCTCCAGACTTCTGGCTATATGCAAAAAAATCCACTGTATTTGCTGAAACTACCATTGCTCAGGTATTGAAGCCTCATGCATTCCTAATGGAGTGACTATATATGTATAAAACTTTAGTTTTCAGGGTATTTATTACCTTGGTTGATTCTGTAAAAAAAATCCTATGGGATAGAAAAAGCAGATACTTTTATACATGAAGGCATCAGGCCCCAGAAAGACCAAGTGACATAGCCAAGATCACAGAATGGGTGGCAGAGATGAGCTGAAGGTGAACTCTGACTTCCAACCCACACTCTAGCTCACCACACTGCCTCACGGGTTCCACAGCATGACCCATGGCTTTTGAATAACAACAATGGAAATACTGCACAGTGTAGACTTTGGTGTCTCTGAGTCAGTTTCTTCATCTGTAAATTGGGGATAATAATAATATCTCACAGGGTAGTGATAGAGTTAATGAGCAATTTGTGTGTAAGGGTTTTAGCATAGTGTTTAACATATAACACACACTCTTTATCATGCTATGTTATTTATGAAAACTTAGATGCGCTTTATAGCCTTGGAGAGCCTGTCAGTTTCTGAGGCATGGTTGGAGAGGCATGAGGGAGACCTGGATTCAAATCTCAATCCCTCTTCTTTTAACTGAATGACCTAAGGTAAGTTATTGAATCTCTGGGAATCTTAGTTTCTTCATCCATAAAATGGGAACATTAGTAGTTACTCAGACAGTTGTTGGTAAAGATTAAATGGGGATAAAATGTAAAGCTCTATAGCCCGGCCAGTGTGGCTCATCGACCCATGCACCAAGAGGTCACTGGTTTGATTCCCGGTCAGGGCACATGCCCAGGCTGTGGGCCTGATCCCCAGTGGGGGGCTTGCAGAAGGTGGCCAATCGATGTTCTCTTTCATTGATGTTTCTGTCTGTCTCTCCCTCCCTCTTCTTCTCTCTCTAAAAAAAAAAATCAATAAAAAAATAATAAAAAATAAAAAGTAAAGCTCTATAGAACAATGCCTGGCACAGAGCCAGACCTCAGCTGTCGCCCTTCTTCCTGACCTCGTCTCGCTGCCATTCGGGGGGTCTTTGATGACACAGCTCTGTGACAGTGCTGACCAGCTTCGAGCTCCAAGGGTGGGCGGCTGGGCCCCTGGTGGTGGGGGGCTAGATATCCTTAGGGGAGGTTTTATTTTCTCAATTTTATTCTAAAATATAACTGCATTTATGAGAGATTGGCATCCCACTTAAAATTTTTATTTTTAATTATAATTGACACAGTATTATATTAGTTTCAGGAGTACAACATAGCAATTCAATATTTATATAACTTGTAATGTGATCACCACATAAGTCTATTAACTATCTGTCACCGTTAATACATTAAAATCCCTAACTTTTAATGTCTACAATATTCCATCCTATGGCCATACCAACATTGATTTAATCCTTTTCAAATCTAAAGGGCATTTTGATGATTTCCATTGTTCTGGTGTTGGATGTACTGTGTGTAATTATTGTGTGGATGCTGTGATGACTGAATACTGAGGATGTGGTCGTGCTGTTGGGCTGGGAGGAGCCACCACCTCTTAGATGTAGGGAACAAGGTCTTTCCCAAGGAACGTATGCTGTCAGTCCCTAGCACTACCCACTGTACCCCGCCCCTTTGTCCTGCTGTTCTTTTTCCATAGCACCTTGTACCTTGCCATATAATTTTCTTATTTTAATTTTGTTTTTATTACTGTCTCCCATGGCTACAGTGTGAAACTCCTGAGGGCAGAGATTCTTGTCTATTCTGTTCACCAATGCATTCCAAGTGCCTGGAACAAGCAAATGGCACATAATAAATATATTAATAAATGTTTGTTGAATGAACGAACAAATAAACTCTGGGTAAGAGGCTTGTCCTCAAACAGAAACTGCTTAGGGAGAGCTATTACTCATGGTAGCAGAGTTGCAGATTTTTGTCCTTGCCTGGAAAGGGTGATGAGACAATGGAGAAGTAGTTCCCGGGTGGTGGAAAGCAAGGCCTACTTACTTCATGTGCATGCAGGTGGGGACTTGACTGAAAACTTGGCAAGCAGCCATAGAATTGTGAGTTGTGACCACCTGCTGGGCAAGAGCAGGATGGTAAAAGCAACTGTCCGTTTGGCAGCCCACTCTCCAGCCCCTAGCATTGTGACAGACATCGCTCATGGTGTCCTCAGGATCCTTCCTAACGCCAGTGATGTATAAACGGAATCCTGTTTGCCTTGCCTGGGCTAGAAAGTAACCATTTTATTCAAGCTCTGGGACAGAATAAGGCTTGTGAACTGTAGGAATAAATTAGCCATGGCAGAATCAGAAGTCTGGATTTTCTAAGCCTTGGCGAGGTTTTTAAAATAAATTGTGGTAAAATATACATAACATTTACCATTTTAACCATCTTTCAGGGTACAGTTCAGTGGCATAAAGTACATTCACACTGCTATGCAACCATCTGTCTGCAGAATAGTTTTCATCTTGCAAACCTCTGCAACCGTTAACAATAACTGCCTCCCACCCCCCACCCAAGCCTGGTTTTAATGCCTCTATTCATTTCCAGGCTGCTCTCTCGGTGTTCAATAAAATCTTTCAGAAAATATACCTATCTCAGCTGTGCTAGAAGGAAGGCCTTTTATCCACATTTGAGCCAGAGCTACAAAGAGGGCCTTTGGGAGGCCAGAGGGGTGACTGCGTAGAAATCAAGAGTGAGAATAGCCGTGGGGAGGCGGGGATCCAGGGGAAAGAGCTCGGCCTACAGGGTTCACCTGCCCTTGACCACCCGGAAACAGCTGGAAGGTGTGCTCCAACCCAGCTCCGAACTCCAGGGGCCCTGTGTTCATTTTCACTGAACTTGGAGGCTGATGCTTGAGCCCTGAACTTAAAGAATCTCAATCTATCCCCACAGCTGCTTTTGGCTGTCCCATAATTCTAGGTTTGAACATCATAAAGATTCGGCGGTATGACGGCTTCTTAGTCCTTGATTCTATGCCTTAGGAATAAAAGGATGTAAAATTGCCAAGTGCAAACAACGGAGATGAAGGGGGCAGAGCAGAAAGAAGTGGGAGCACCATAAATAAAAACCACAGGGTGTTCTGACGCCCTGATCTGCTTCCTGCTAACCCTGCCGCTGGGTCCCTTCCCTACGACACTCACGGCTGTCACTCCCCTTCTCTCTGGTCTCTCACGCCAATTACTGAGACACCGCACCGCGCTGATTCGTCTTCCTTGTCACAGCCCAGGCCCGTGGAGGGGCTTCCAAGGAACCCACTGGGACAGGCAGAATTACAAGCAGCATTAACGGACTTCAGCCCTGGCCAGTTTGGCTCAACCCTTGGAGCATGGGCCTGCAGACCCAAGGGTCTCAAGTCTGATTTCCCATCAAGGGCACTTACCTGGGTTGCAGGTTCGACCCCCAGCCCTGGTCTGCCTCGTGTGGGAGGCAACCAATCGATGTGTCTCTCTCCTATTGAGGTTTCTCTCCCTTCCATTCTATCTAAAAATCAATGGGAAAATATCCTCGGGTGAGGACTAACAACAACAACAAAAACAAGAGAGACATTTAAAATGTTACCTTTTGGATATGTTGGTTTCAGCCAGAAAATAGGAAGGTCACCACAGAGTTCTGTGACTTTGGAACTCAAGAAGCTGCTGTCCTTCACAGGCTGGTCTGTAGCCACCCAGATGAGAGAATTTTCTTCATACTTGACTGGCATGATCTTGCCTTCCTGCAAGTAAGTGGACATGAAACGCATTGAGCAAGAAGACAGTGGGACATGCTGTGCATTAAGATTCACGCGAGGGTAAAAGATTTCTCTGTAGACGCTTACAGAGAATTCTGTGTGTGTGTTGTGTGCCCTCCCCTCCCCGACTTTCAGGTTCTGATCTCTTCCTTGTGTCGCTCTCTTCGTAATATCCAGCGCCTGCTCCTGCCAGCCTGCTTTGGAGGGCGGAATGTGTGAAAATGAGTATCCTGAGGAGAAGTGAAAATTACTTGATACCAACTTTTAGCTTTGGGTTAATCTGATGTTTTTGATCAAAGATGTGTTTGAGGAAAAGCAATTGAATGGCCCTGGAATCCTACAAAGGATAGAGGAACTCTCCATTTGAAGTGAAAATCCTTTGGGGTTTTGTACTGCACAACAATGGAAAAAGCAAGTGATTGGTTCTTTAATGTCTTCAGTTCAAAGTATTATTTAACATAAACCATGTCTCCGTTTCCCAGCTATAACAAAACATTTCAGACGTTCTTCGCGTCAAGCACACCACTGAGATTTCAAAGCTAAACCCTGGATTTTCTTTTACAGCGAGATGCTGAGAGTGGTTTGATAACCCAGGAGACACATTTATTTTGCCAGGTTGTTCCTTTCATGTATTTATTAGTTTGCAATAGTTTGGAGAAATTAAAATGTTTTCTCTTTATTTTGAGCTCAAAGCACTTCATTGATGCTTTCTCCCCAGGCTTACGGTTGCATTAGAACAACTCGAAGTTATTGGAGGAAGCGAGCTCTCGGGTAATCCAGTTATTTACCCTAAATTAAATGGCTCCATCCAGGAAATGAATGCTCTTTGGGTATAATAGCTTTCTAAAGTTATAAAAAAAGTGATGAAAAATGTATAAGAGCAAGCGGTGCATGAATCTACCCCATCACAATCTGAAGTGTGTGGGGAAGAGTGGGGAGACAGGGACGACGCACACACATGTCCGACAAGCTGGGGCTGTTAGGGCAGCTTGGGGCACATGCTTCCAGGTGTCCACCCAGTTTTCCTTTCCCCTCCCTTCCTTTGCAGCAGCAATGGTGCCCGGTCCCAGGAGAGACACCTGCTTTCTCCGACTCTCCAGAGGGTTCCAGACGCCCCTGTGAGCAGTTCCAGGCAATGAGACCCGTGCTGAAGGGCACCGGGGGCTGGGAAGCCTTCTGCTTGTCCTGGCTAAAGGGAAGTCGCGGGTGGCACTGCTCGGCCTCTCCCTGACGTCCTTACTCGAAGGTGTGCTTGGTGTTTGGAGCGGGAAGGAAAGGCCAAAACAGTCCGAGATGCCGGCCTGTGCCGCCCCCGCGTCGCTTACTAGGGAGAACACAGTCCTTGTTTGTTTCCGTCACTCTGAGTGTAGGCTTCTGTTAGTGACAGCCAGACACATTCCGCATCCACACACATATTGTCTGCATTTGGTTTTGTCCATCAGAGGGTCCACCATGCACAATACAAACAAATGAAACACAGTGAAAAGAATTTGCTTCTACGGCCTAAGAAAAGAATCCGAGGCAGACAAAGGTTTAACTGCAAACTATCACCCCCGGGAATTCTTTCTGTATTGAAAAAATGTATTTTGAATTGCTATTTTAATTGGTGAAAAATTGGAGATACCTGGACAGCTTTTTTTTAAAATCCTCACCTGAGGACATTTTTCTATTTATCTTCAGATAGAGTGGGAGGGAGTGAGAGAAAGGGAGAGAGAGATAAACATCGATGTGAGAGAGACACATCGACTGGCTGCGTCCTGCACGATCCTGACCGCAACCGAGGTGCCTGCCCTGGACTGGAATCAAACCCTCAACTCACTGGTCTGCAGCCGACACTCTACCGCTGAGCCAAACTGGCCAGGGCTCTGGACAACTTTTAAAATTATAGTCATATAGCCCTGGCCGGTTTGGCTCAGCGGTTAGAGCATCTGCCTGCAGTCCAGAGAGACCCGGGTTCGGTTCCCTCTAAGGACACGTACCTCAGTTGCAATTTGTCCCCGGCCCTGGTTGGGTCATGTGGGTGGCAGCCACTCGATGTGTCCCTTTCACGTCGATGTCTCTCTCACTCTCTCTCTCTCTCTCTCTCTTCCTCTCTCTCCCTCCCACTCTATCTGAACAAAAAACGAAAAAAGTGTCCTTGGGTGAGGATAAAAAAAAAATTAAAATTATAGTCATATAACATATAATCCACATTGTAGAAGGACTAAAGTTGAGTGAAAATAATAAGAATGTCCAACAGCACAAAAATTCAGTTATGAAAAGAATATTGTGTACATGAAGAAGCAAGACTCACCAAAAAGTTAACATTGGCTATCTGTGGATTATGCAACTGTGGGTGATTTTCTTCTCTAGTCTTTTATGTATTTTCCAAATTTTCTCCATCTATATATATATAATTTTTTTTTATCCTCACCCGAAAACATTTTTGCATTTATCTTCAGATAGAGCAGAAGGGAGAGAGGGAGGAAGAGAAAGAGAGAAACATTGATGTGACAGAGACATCGACTGGCTGCCACCCGCATGACCCCAGCTGGAGCCGAGAACGAAGTGCAACCGAGGTACATGCCCTTAGTGGGAACTGAACTCGGGACTCTCTGGTCTGCAGGCTGATGCTTTAACCGCTGAGCCAAACTGGCCAGGGCTGTATTTCCCAAATTTTCTACAATGACAAAGTACTGTGTTTAAACACAAGAAAAAAATTGTTTTTAAAAAACCCAAAATATGGGCCTGGCCAGTTTGGCTCAGCAGTTGGAGTGTCCACCTACAGACCAAGGGTCCCGGGTTCAACTCTGGTCAAGGGCATGTACCTGGGTTGCAGGTTTGATCCCTGGCCCTGGTTGGGGTCATGCGGGAGGAACCAATTGATGTGTCTCTCTCACATTGATGTTTCTCTCTCCCTCTCTCTCTCCTTCTCCCTCCCTTCCACTTTATCTAAAAACCAATGGAAAAATATCCTTGGATGAACAAAAACACCCAGACTATGTTCTGCAAACATGTGGTTAGGTCTCGGTCGGCTGCGCCTGGGGGCTAGTGCTTGTGGAAGGGCAGCAGAGCACGGGTCCCTCGTCCGCTTGTGGGGGTGACTCCAAGGGTTACAGTTCACCGAAGGCTTTGTGACAGAAGCTGAGTGACAGGACTAAAAGAACAGTCATGCAATAAGAGGAGTTCTAGGGTCAGAACAAAGGAGGTCTTGGTGTGCCTGCTGCGCTCGCACTGTGGCTGCCAGTGGGAGCCTGGCCCTCCTGAGTGGCACAGCCCTGGGGGCTCACTGCGTAGCATCAGGGGGGAGGCCGGGGCAGAGGAGGCCGGGGACCAGCTCTCAGGGCGGATGGCTGGGGAAACTGGGAGTAGGAAAGAGAACGGAGGACATGCTAACGAGCTTTGAAACTCACCCGTTTGTTTTTAGCGTTTGTTTTGTTTTGTGCTTTGAGATACCTTCTGCTGCTGCTCCTAGGAGGGCAAACAATCGGGCAGTTTCCAGGCACCTCTGCTTACCCTTCTTTGTCCTCTTTTGCCTTGAGGGAGCTCATGCTGACTTCACTTCCCTCTCAGGGAGACGGGAAGGGCCAGGGGGATCATGATAAAAGTAACAGGGATGGGAGCAGCTATCTATTCACCGTCCAGTAGATGCAGGGCCGGGGACAGTGTGCGCTCCCCGGGGGGCAGATGACAGAACCGAGGCTCACTCACAGAGCTGAAGCCACACCCACAGCCGATGTCAGGCTTCGAACCTACATTTTCCTGACTCCAGAGTCCGTGTTCTTTCCACCGGTGCTGCCACAACTCAAATGGAAGACAATAATGAATGTGACCACTTTGTAAGCCCTAAAGTATCAAATAAATATAAAGCTACTGTTGTTAAATGTGTCGTTAGAACTCTATGCAAATCTTAAAATAAATGTGTATAAACTCAAGCTCAAAGGCAAGCTATTAATAATAAATGGGAGAGTTATGTTTTAAAAAACCTCACAAATTTGACACACAGAAAGGAAATTCGATATATGTCGAGTAGCTCGCGTCACTGGGTTGACGTTGAACCAACAGGAAGGAATTGTTGGGGGAGCCATCTCAGCTCAGTGGAGGGCACACGGTCCCAGGAAGGTGCCTGACACACAGATGAGGGAGTGAGACGCCCTGTGGCCTCGGCTGCTTTCCAGCAGAGGCTGCTGGGTGGTCGGCTCCAGGCATTTGCGGGAGGAGTTCCCACACCAGTGGAACTGAGACCCTCTGATGAAGATTCTAGCAGGTGAAGTCCTTTATGTGGTCTTAATCGCTGATTGGATAGTTCCCTATCATCAAAATATGGGCCATGGGAGACCTGTTAAGCACTTTAAAATATGGTTTTCCAGCCCTGGCCGGTTTGGCTCAGCGGTCAGAGCGTCGGCCTGCGGTCCAGAGACCCGGGTTCGGTTCCCGCTAAAGGCATGTACCTCGGTTGCAGTTTGTCCCCGGCCCTGGTTGGTCGTGCGGGTGGCAGCCACTCGATGTGTCTCTTTCACGTCGATGTTTCTCTCTCTCTCTCTCCTCCTCTCTCTTCCTCCCACTCTGAGCAAAAAAAAAAAAAAAAAATGGTTTTCCAAAACCTTTAAATACGCTACATCATGTAAGAATTCACGTTAAAGTGATCCCTTAGATCCAACCAGTAGGACCGAAACAGTTTCAATTCCTTTGGCAGGGAAGAACCAGAATTTACGTTCTGGTCTCAAACCTGTCGAGGAACCGGGGATAGAAAGGGTTCAAACAGGGTCTGCCCCGCCCTCCGGCTGCCCGGCGGGTACCCACCAGTTCCGAGACGATGCTCTGCTTGGCCCTGGCGCCCACCTCAGGGACGCGAGCCTTCAGCTGCGCCTTGATGTAGCACTTCTCTCCTCCAGCGAAACGGATTGCGGTGATCCCCTAGGACATGAAAGAAATGTTCACCCATCCGCCTATCCACCTGTTCCCTTCTTCGCCGTATCGCGTGTCCACTGCCAGCCAGGCGCTGCTTCAGGTACGGGGTGCAGGGATGAACAAAACAGATGGGATCTGTGCCCCCGTGCAGGTAACTGTTAGCGTTATTAACCCAAAATACGAAATTGAGATCAAGTCAGGTGGTGTTAAGTGCTGTGGGGAAAATAAAGCAGAGCTCGAGGTGAGGAAACAGGATGTGGCCTTGTCAGTGTGGTCAGGGGAGGCCGCCACGGGGCTGGCGTTGGAGCTGAGAGGAAGGACGTCATTGCTCCCTCTCTCCCTCAGCTCAGATGAAAGGCCACCTTTCTATGCTGCTCTCTCTGACCATCCCAGGCTAAGGGGGCTCCTTTTCCTCTGCCTTCCGTGAGCGCGGCCCCCAATGTCTTCATCCTCCCTCGGGGGGCTCCTAGTGAATGTCATCTGGGTTACAAGCTCAGATCGCTATCTGAGTCATTTTCTTTTTTGTGATTTCACCAAGATTCTTGAAAGAGGTAGGTCCAGTGAATTAATTCCATAAATTCAGATCTTTCCTAAAGTTATCAAACCCAGAGTAAATACCGAAGTTTTCTACAACACCAGGAGCTGAACTTGGCTCTAGACCTTACCCACGGACTTGGATGTTTTGTTTTTGTCCCCTGTGAGATATAAACAGTGTCTCCTTCTCATCTGCCTGGGGACCAGCCTCAAGGGGAACTGAGCTGCAAGACTACAGTCATGGCTAATGGCTCGGGCTGATTCTACCCTCGGAGCACATCCGGCCCCACAGTCTCCAAAGTGTTTACTTTCACCTGCTGGTTAACCTCAGGACTAGCAAGTGGCCAAAGCAGCATTAAAAGCCTACAAATTTTATGCTATAATAATGTAGACACCAACGCAAATCTGGACATCTCAACTTGTCAATATCCTGTTGAGTTGAGACAAGTATCAGGGGGACAAGACCGTGTCCCAGTGCCGATGCCAAGGAATGGGGGAAGAAAAAATGTAGAAACCCAGGGGTCCCGGCTCAGGATTCAACCATCTTAAGTGAAGAAAGAAGTTGAGTGTAAGTCATGCGTGTGTAACCGCAGAGCCGGGAACCCCACGGAAGCTGGTAGGTGACAGCCCGGAGGACAGAGCAGGAGAGCTCGCGCTCCCTAAAGCTCCGCGAGGATTTGCCCTGCAGCCTACCTGGCCACATACACGCATTTCAGTCATCTCTCCCAGTGTCACCTCCCACCCAGAGACGGGTGGTGGCGTTACGCCCACTTTACAGAGGCTGACTGCAGAGGTTTCCGACTCACCTGGAGAGAATTTAAAACACAGATGCCTGGGCCTCTCCCTAGAGATTCCCATTTAATTGGCCTGGGGTGGCGCCCAGACACTGGTATGCTTCATAGCCCCCCATTGTTTACAATGTGCAGCCCAGGTTGAGGATCACCAGTTTAGGGGAAAAGAAACTTGTTCAGGGTAAAAGAGTTTTAAAATGACTGAAACAGCCTCCTATCGACTGACTGTTCAGGTGCCCCCCAAATGTATATGTTGAAACCTACCCCTCAACATATCTGGAGACAGTGTCTTTGGGAGGTGATTACGTCATAAGGGCGAAGCCCTCATGAATGGGATTAGTGCCCTTATGAAAGGGATCCCAGAGAGCTCCCTCGTCCCTCCTGCTCGGCGAGGCGCGGTGAGAAGGCAGCCCGCTGTGAACCAGACAGCGGCCCTCGCTCGACACCCAATCTGTCGGCGCCTTGATCTGGGCCTTTCCAGCTTCCAGAACTGTGAGAAACAATTTCTGTTGGAAGTCACCCAGTCTATGCCACTTGTCACAGCCACTTGAATGGACCAAGGCAGACTTTGGACCCAAGTTTTTCTGTGCCAGTGGCTCACACACCTTCTCTCTCACCAGACTCACCAGGACGCCTGTTCAATGAAACGCAGAGTGCTGGGCCCCACCCTCAGAATTTCTCATTCAGTAGGTCTGCAGTGGGGGCTGAACTCTGCATTTCTAACAGGCTCTTAAGTGGTGCTGCTGCTGCCGGTCTAAGGAACACTCTGAGAACCACTGCTCTCTACTGGGCCTGTCCTGAAGGTCTGCTGCTCGTAAGCTGCATGTAAATCCAGGGCCGTGGTTTGAAAAACAGAAGCAGGGGGAGGAGATGACTGCCCCACTGTGTGACATGTTCTCTTAACTTCAACCCCTCGCGTTCTCCATGTAAGATGCAAGGAGGAAACACCACAGAACCATAGCCCCAAAGGAAAGAGCCGAGTCTGCTGAAGGATTCACCACCTGGATGTGAATCGAGTATTGAGTGGGTTCTGACGGGCTGCACGGTGCAGGGACCTGAAGTGCCCTCGGGATGGGTCTGTGGGGAGAGACTCACACATCATAGCCACCATGTCTAGCTACAGCTGCTCATCAAGCAGCCAGATATATCAAGAGATTAAATAGCAGGAATGAAAAAGCACAAGAAAGCCAAGCAAACCTTTTGTTTTTGCAAACAAATAAGGTGTTAGAAGCTGGTGATAATGAAGAAATGTGCTAATAACGATAATGAGTGAAGAGTCCAGTGACTTAATTTTTTTTTTATCCTCACCCGAGGATATGTTTTATTGCTTTTAGTGAAAGAGGAAGGAAACGAGAGAGAGAGAGAGAGAGAGAGAGAAACATCAACGTGAGAGAGAAATATCGAGCCCCAATCAGGGCCAATATGGGAGGCTGCCGATTAAACCTGTACCTAGGTATGTAGGAACCTGCAGTCCTTTGGTGCACGGGACGATGCTCCAGCTGAGCCACCTGGTCAGGGCTGACCTAACTAACATTCTTCTATCAAAAGTCAGGAAATCTCATTTTAGCCACATATTTTTTCATCTATTTCTGTGGCTTAAACCAGAAGTTCCCTAGGTGGACAAGGGCTCCTACCCCCAAGGGACACTACCGAAATCTTTGAGGGAGTTTTTGTTGTCACAAAGATTGGTGGCTGTCCAGGCCTTTCATGGTCATTGCCCAGGGATGATGGCCCAATAAGCCTGGGACGGTCCTGAAGAACCAGCTGCCTTGGGCCCTGGGTGGAAAACCTGGTTGGAACTATCTGTGCCTAGAACCTAACACAGTTTTATACATAAACACAAAGTGATTTTTGGCACAGTTTTAATGCACAACAAGGTTCCTAGGAATGCAATTACTGTGAAAATGGAGAGAAAATGGTACTTTTGCTCACTGTTTGAAAAGCATTACCTGGTATTTAATTTGCCAACACACACTTAGGTCTGTGTGCATTTTCAGCTGTGCCAGGGACAGTGATTCAACTCTCGGAGCAAAAATATTTTATAGTTGGGGGCCATATTGGTGTTTGAAATCAACAACCTACCTGCCAGGTAAGTAGGTTATGTTATCTCCCCCACTCCCTTTAGCTTTTTAAATAAAAATTTCAAACATACACACAGTTAAAAGAATTGCATAGTGATCACTCATCTATACCCACCAGTTTTTTCTAGCTTGATTTCTAACCAAGATTTTTGTTAGATAAACAAGCGATTAGAGCTGAGAGGATTGGCGTACACCAGAAGCACTGATGCTTTGGAGAGTATAACCTTCCAGACTGACTTGCGCTGTGAACACACCCAGCTTTGTGTCCCTCGGGGTACTGACAGAGACTCCCGGACCTAAGGCTTGCCAGGTCCTGAGTCCTCTCTTTGATGAGGCCCCGACCTTGGCCTGCTTATTCCAATTTTTGCAAGAATCCCGCTGAGTTAGCCTGGGTCTGACCACCCTCGATATCCGATCACCCTGGCTTGCCTTTAGCAAAAATCCTGCTAGGTCAGTTTAGTAAAGAACTACTCGACATTTTAGTAATTTTCCATCTACCAACACTCCCACTGTGGCTGTAAATCTCCACTTTTCTGTATTGTATTCAGAGTCGAACCCAATCTCTCTTCCACTACAAGACCCCGCGGCAGTGGCTTTCCTGGAGTAAAGTCTGCCTTCCTTTCTGTGATCAATGTCCTGACTCGCTTTTTCTTCACCAGTGTAGAACCTGGAGCCCTTTGGTCCATGCTGATCCCTCTCTGGAGGTGCTTTTTACCATCAGTTCTACTAAAATCTTGGGAACTGCTCGCTTGCAATTCAGAACCTTTTCTTTTTATCCTCACCCAAGGACATTTTTGTATTTATCTTCAGATAGAGTGGGAAGGAGAGAGGGGGGAAGAGAGAGAGAAACATCAATAGGAGAGAGATACATCAAGTGGCTGCCACCCACATGACCCCACCCAGGGCCGGGGACAAACTGCAACCGAGGCGCGTGCCCTTAGTGGGAACTGAACCCAGGACTCTCTGGTCTGCGGTCGATGCTCTAACCGCTGAACCAAACTGGCCAGGGCCAGAACCTTTTCTAGTCTGGTCCCACCTGGATCCCCGTCCTCTCCCCTTCCCCAACTTCAGCCCCATTGGGCCACTTAGCCTTCCAGAGCAGGCCTGTGCATTTGTATTCAGTATTCTTCCCTGGGCCTGGAAAGCCCACCCCTACTTTCCTGCTGGTTGAAATCCTAATTATTCTTCAAGACCTGATTCAACTGTCACCCCCCACCCCCTCTGTAAAACCTGCTCCAACTCTGCTCGCCAGCAATTGCCTCCACTCTGCTCTACAGCTCTCTGTTCACAGCTCCGGCAGAGCCTTCCCAGGCTGCCGGAGCCACTTCTGGGTGGACGTCTGCCCCCTGCTGTCAGTCATCTTATCATGCTTATCACCATCCCTTGCACACAGTGGGCCCCAATCAATGTTTCTTGAATTTGATTTAAAATATAGGGGAATTATACAGATACCGCAGTGGCAGGTTCATGTGTTTTCAAAAGTCCAGGCTTGTTTAAAAGCATAATAGGTTCTATATCAAAAAAAAAAGTTCTACTTATCAGTTCTGACTTAGAGAAATGTAGAAGCTATCAAAGAGAACGGATCCATCTATAAAATATTTGTGGCCCTTTTGGCCTAGGAGAACAAAACGCAGCAATACCATTATTAAAACCAAAGGATTATAAAACAGATGTATAGGTTTGGGATTAAAATATTTAAAAGTAAATTCCTGGTGTATACACTTCCTGAAAGAGATGGATCTTTTTTTATTCATCTATGTGGCCACCGTTGCATACCTTGGGTATTGCGGCACATCGTAGGTATTCAATTTTGTTTTGAATTGAATGATGTGTGTGTGGGAGTCAAATTTTATAATTTTATATTGAGCAGTAGAAAGAAAAGTGCTTTCTCCTTGCCCTGTGTCTTGCAGTAAAGCCTTTATTTATTTATTTATTTATTTTTATCCTCACCTGAGGCCATTTTTTTGCATTGATCTTCAGATAGAGCGGGAGGGAGAGAGGGAGGAAGAGAGAGAGAAACATCGATGTGAGAGAGACACATCGAGTGGCTACCACCCACACGACCCCAATCGGGGCTGGGGACAAACTGCAACTGAGGTACGTGCCCTTCATGGGAACTGAACCCGGGACTCTCTGGTCCTCAGGCCGACTCTCTAACTGCTGAGCCAAACCGGCCAGGGCTTCAGTAAAAGCCTTTAACAGGTCCAGAGAAATTATCCTTGTGCACCGACCAGAACCGAGTGCAAAGCTCTGACTACACGGAGCTCAGCTGGGCATGTGCAGAGCTGCCGAGCTCGGCCACAGGGCACAGCCCACTCTGAACACAGCCGGTTCTTCTCAGCATCAAGTAATATCCAGCATCACCAGGGCTCTAATGTCAGCATCTGTTTGGTATCAAAAGGGTCTGTGAAGCGTGTTTTGGCATCAACAAGGGGAGTTCTTTCATTCACGTGAAAGGCATCTCTAGTTTTCTCATCAATCAGAGGAGGACAATGAGAAGTTTGTGGGCCTATAAATGATCAGAGGAGACGTTATTTTTATGTGCCTTTTCTTCACTACGAAGTCTCACCTACTCCAGCTACAGGTTTGACAGGAGAGCACCAAGAGTAATGCCTCTTGCTTATCTTAGAGCAGGGAAGGGAACACGACACTTGTGTTGGCCGACAGCAAAGGAGGCCTGGACTGATACTTGGGTTTGCAGACAGACATTGAAGCATCGTTGCTTAGCTTAATGTCTCAAAACGCCTGAATTTTTTGAAAACAAACATGTCTGCCCTTCACAAAGGAGACTAGAATGTGTTACCTGTAATAGACAGGAGTCAAAAAACATAGAATATCATAGCGGAATTTCTCCATGCTAATTTTCTAGATTAAATGGGAAAGCTACAAAATTGAGAAAAGTAAAATAGAGGCCTGACCTGTCTTTGATGTGATTATTAGCTCATTAAAATCTCCCTCCTCTCTGTAAGTTCAGAAAGAGACTTTGCAACACTCCAGGGCCGTTTGAGTGTTTTGTTTTATGGAACGCTGCTCGGAAAGAAACAGCTCTCGCCCTGGCCGGTTTGGCTCAGCGGTTAGAGCGTCGGCCTGCGGTCCAGAGAGACCCGGGTTCGGTTCCGCTAAGGGCACGTACCTCGGTTGCAGTTTGTCCCCGGCCCTGGTTGGTCGTGTGGGGTGGCAGCCACTTGATGTGTCCCTTTCACGTCGATGTTTCTCTCTCTCTCTTCCCCTCTCTCCTTCCCACTCTATCTGAACAAAAAATGGAAAAATGTCCTCGGGTGAGGATAACAAACAACAACAAAAAGAAACAGCTCTCACGCGCCCTTCTGCTAAGACTGTCTGTGGTTCCAAGAGCCTGTTCTTTTCGATGCCAAGGTGTTGTTCTTTTCATTTTGAAAGTATTAAAAACAAGGAGTGTCCTTTCTCAGAGGGAATCTTCTGCATGGAGCATGTGGATGAGTGGTCCTGTGAGTGGCTATAAAAAGCAGTTCCCCTTTGGTAAGTGTAAGACATGCTGCTTCCCCCCGAGTTCGCAAAGTCTCCCAGGCTTGCCTGGTGAAACTCTCCAAAGGCACGAACTATACTTACATTCTGGAAATCATTGACTTCAATGGCCTCTTCAGCTCCACTTCCCATCTTAAAGGTCTCCAAGTTGTTCCCAGGGTCTATTTCCATGGACCCATCTTGCAATTTCCCATTGATACTCATGGTGTAATGGACGTTGTAAATCTGGAAGCGAACAGAGTGGCAGTGATGCTTTCCTCAGAGAGGGGTTGTCCTCAGACCCGCTTATGAGGTGGCTTTCACACCTGTCAGAGACACACTGAACCAGCCTGGAGAGTAATATATATGTTATATGAGAACTTATCCACATACCAATCACTCAATGCCGTGATTCCTTTAAAAATACCTTTAGAAAGAAGTCACACCTTTGAGAGTCTGGTACTAATTCAGATAGCTCAGTGGTTCGCAATCCGGGCCCTCTGTAGAAGCATCTGAGTGGAATCTCCAGCCACCATGACTGGGTTTCCCCGTGGACCAGTCAAATCAGAACCTGCGAGGTTGGGCTTGGGCAGAGACCTTTCTTTTCTGAAAGGACAACTACACTGTGCAGCCAGGGTTGAGACCTGCTGAGGGGTCAGTGGAAATCGAGGAGGCAGAGGGTTAACTGGGCTATTAACTGCACAGGTCTGCAGAGACGCCAGAGTTTGAAAGGTTTCTTTGGTCCTTGGGTTAAGATCAGGCATGGAAGGTGGTTTATAGCAAGGACCCAGACGAGACTGGAACTTGCCTGGCGGAGAGCAAGGTCAATGTGCACATCTGTGTCAGCCAAAATGGGAGTCACTCACTTTAATGACTCCATGGGGCTGGCAATGGGTTTGTAGGGCATTTTGTTATGAGATGTGGGGGGAGGAGGAAGGAGACTTGGCACTGTAGATAGGCACTGGTCCAGGAATCAGACAGACAGGTGGCCACACCACGTATCCCTGGGTTTTGGGAGGTGCCTTCAGTGTAAAATAAAGAAGTCGGACCTCAGAGGTGGTTTTTCATGTATGACTTTAACGCTCCGAGGTTTCACAGAAGTGGCCCGGAGGTGAGGGTGGGAGAGCAGGTGGGACTGTGTCTCCTCTCCTGACCACCCACAATATAGCAGAGCAGCTCGGCTTCTGTTTCACTTATTGCATTTCTGAGTAAGAGCTTAAGAAAAATTCTGCCATTAAGAATTTTTTAAAATAAAGCTTACCAGTAGCTCTGGCCAGTTTGGTTCAGCGGTTACAGCGTCGACCCTCGGATCAGAGAGACCCAGGTTCGGTTCCCGCTAAGGACACGTACCTCGGTTGCAGTTTGTCCCCGGCCCCGGTTGGGGTCTTGTGGGTGGCAGCCATTTGATGTGTCTTTCTCACGTCAATGTTCCTCTCTCTCTCTCTCCCTCCCTCTCTCCCTCCTGCTCTATCTGAAGATAAATGCAAAAGTGTCCTCGAGTGGAGGATAAAAACAAAAAACAAACAACAAACAAAAAAAGCTTACCACTAGATTAGATGATTCCCAAGGGCTCTCTTGGTTTAGACACGTTGGTAGTTCACTAGTTTATAAATAATTCACACACTGCTTCTGCTCAGGGTGCTGCTGCTTTGCTAGAACATTCTCTGAGTTGTGGAATAGTAGGTGGGTTCCTTTTCTTCTTTCCTGACTTTTTCTGACTTAGAGGCATATATATAATATATCTCATATATAATATCTAATATATAAATCCTTTAAAGGGGAAGGAATGGGAACTGATGAAAGACATTTGCTGCCCGGCCAGTGTGGCTCAGTGGACTGAGCATCATCCCATGGACTGAGAGGTCCTGGTTCGATTCCTGGTCAGGGCATGTGTCCGGGGTTTCACGCTTGATCTCCAGTAGGGGGCGTGCAGGAGGCAGCTGATTGATGTTTCTCTCTCCCTTCCTCTCTCTAAAAATCAATAAAAACATATTTTAAAAAAAAAAAAGAAAGAAAGACTTGCTACTTAGTGTCAAGTCAGTGGGTCATTATCACAAATTCACTTTAAGCCTGATTTTCTTTCTCATCATGAAGAATAACTACTACATGAACAAACACTGGAAAAGGATCTGTTGTTATTGGATCATTACTTGTAGAAAACGCATTATTACAAGACCCACAGGGTATGATTTTATTTTATCAGTGGAGATGTAGAAATGGCTTTGCTAGCCAGCACCCTGTCAGGCGCAGCCTTCGTTCAGCAGAACAGAGGGTGCGACCGGTGTGCTAGCTCAGCTCAGCACCGGCTGGGCCCCTCCCGCCCTCCTCCGCACTCCCATGCCTGCAGTGACTCTCCTGACGGAGCCTGAGCATAGGACCCACTTCCCAAGGTTCTGACTTGGTGGAGCTGGAGCAGAGCCCACCAATCTGGTTTCACTTTGCTACTCAGGTGGCCCAGTTTGGGAAACCTGTTTTCTTTGGCTGAGTCAGCGCTTTATACAGGTAAGGTTTAGAAAGCAGACTCTGTTCTGCCCCATGCTCTCTGAGCAGCTACTATGCACATGGGTTAATTACAACTGTCAAAAGGAGCAAGGCAGACCACACTGGTGTACGTTCCGCTGGCACAGCGTCCTCCCCTCAGGCAACAGGAGGCTCTTTTTTGGGGGGAAAGCATTGCACACAGCTTTCACTCGTGACGCAATGCAAAATTTAAGAAATGAATGGTTTCTATCTTTTTAGCAAAGGCTCCCTCACTAAGTGTAAGTATTGCATTCTTTCTACTGCAGCTCCGGCCTATGTTTTTAAAGCAGAGCACAGCCTGCATGGGGCAGCAGCGAGAGGCCTGTGCCCTCCTGAAGCTGTGGGGGCAGGGATGCTGCACTCTGGAATTATTTCCCAAGCACGGGGCCTGGAGCTCAGAAGGAGGCTGGGCTGATGAAGCAGTAATCACATTATTTCCTCTAAACTGATGGAGCTACTGGTACCTAAGGCTATTGCTACCCAAGTACAATGAAGTTTATTATTTGCCAAAATTCTGCTCAATATGGTGCCTTTTGCAGCCAAGGATATTTGCTAATGAATTTCTAATAAAGCCTGAGTTCTCTAAGATTAATTACATAATGTTTAGGGCAATGTCTAGAAAAATCAAACGGCGAAGAAAGGCCCACAGCAATGATCTTATTCCCTATCCTACAGGGTAGGGTTGTCTGCTATCTCATATTGTGGGAATTTCCCATATTTCAATGCCTTGTTCCTTGCACAGTAGTGTGGCTGAAACATGGCCTCAAAATTCGAGCCTAGTCACTTGTCCCCAGTTATAGTCCTCCAGCTGACTCAGGTAAACCTGTCCTCAGGAGATTTACCCCGTGAAGGCGATAGGAGGTAAATGGCAGCTGGTTAAGTCAAAACAGAGGAGCAGAGGCATGGATGATCCCCAAAGAGTGGGCAGGCAGTCCCTTTGGTTGGGGATGTCTTTCTGTCTGACAGACTTACCTTTTTTGACAATGTTTTGTTTGGGCCACTTAGATTTGTGTTCAGGGAAGCAGACCTGTGCGCATGCGAGGCACAGACGGTGCCAGATTGGCTTTGTTTAGTACTGTATGATTTGGTTTTCAGACTTAACTGATTGGGATCAGCATCAAATATTCTGGGAGTTAAAAAAACAAACAAACCAACAACTACCACTGTGTTTCTTCATTCTCCTGCCTGTATAGGAAAAAGCAGTATCTTTGATTATTGGCCATAAAATGTGATTCACTCTTCTTCTGTATTCCTAGACTTGAATACTGCTCTCCTGAACTACATAACCAATCGTCTTGCGGGAGAGTAAAATATATGAAAAAAGGGAGCCCAGCTATTTAGTATGATCTTTCAATCTCTCTTTTTAGAAGCTTGTCAGCTAGCTGTGTCTGTCTTGAATAATTAAATACCAAATGGTATTCATTTTAATATATATCATGACCAAAATCTTCACCAAAAAAACCCACAAGAAAACAAACGCAAAGCTATTTTTATCCCCAAGTAACCTTTATCGTTGAGGTTTTGTCATCTAAAAGATAGCATTTACATTCGAATACCATGCAATTTCCCAAGGGATGACAATCTAAACCCTGCTATTAATGGAGATGTAGATGTTGAAATCGTTCCCATTTTCAGTTGCTGCTTTCAAATATGAGCATCTGGCCCAGCTTCCATATTTAAAATACAAATATATTAAGGCACTTTGCAAATATACACAAAATACTGTGCAATTCTGATCTTACAAATCGATGCTTGTAAATTTGATATAGTCTCTAAAACAGACTCAGCACTAAATGGCATGCTTATCTACATTAGGCATTTGAGTTAAAAATACAAATTAGGCAGTGACTGCAGAAGATGTTATGTGTAAAATGGTTGAATTGCTTTCAGCACCATTTTCTCTAAGTACTGGAATTCGTTCATGCTTTGAATTTCATAGTGGAAGAGAGGGGGGAACAGCAGTCACAGATCCTCTGAGGGTAGTGATTAAGAAACAGGCCTTTGTGTGTGTCCCAGAGATGGAATTCTTTTCCATTAGTCCAAATAAGCCTATGCCAGGCCTGGCAATGGTCATCAAGATAAAATGACTCCCTTTCCATAGGTGAACAAAATTCAGAGTATTTAGAGAACACACTGGAATTCTGCCAGGTCTAGTTAGAAGCACTTTTTATACTCCTGGAGGGCCCATGGAGCTTTAAAATAAATAGTTGCAAAGAAATAAAGTAGGATAGCAGTTAGTGAATCAGGCACCATTAAATCACTTGTGCCTAGGCCAGAATAGATTTTTTAAAAGACTTGTCACTTTTAAGGAAGTTACACCCCCACCCCCACCCTTAGAGCAAGAGGGAAAAGCACGTTAATAAATAGGTCACATACAAAAAAAAAAAAAAAAAGCAAACAAATGAAAACTCCTGTAAAGTAAAATTCGTTCCCAACACTGGGTCTAGATAGTTCTTCACTCTCTTTGTCCCAGATTCTTTTTTTTTTTTTTTTTAATCCTCACCCGAGGATATTTTTCCATTTTTTGTACAGATAGAGTGGGAGGGAGAGAGAGGAAGAGAGAGAGAGAGAGAAACATCGACACATCGAGAGGCTGCCACCCGCACGACCAACCAGGGCCGGGGACAAACTGCAACCGAAGTACGTGCCCTTAGCGGGAACTGAACCCGGGTCTCTCCGGACCGCAGGCCGACGCTCTAACCGCTGAGCCAAACTGGCCAGGGCTGTCCCAGATTCTTAAATTCACAGCCTTTCTCGGTGCAGAGAGGCCTTTGAGCTCACTTAGTTCCATTTCTTCCCTGAGGATGAGTAAATCGAGGCCAGAGCGGCGACCTGCCTTATCCAAGGTCACACAGCTGTCATTGGAAGCGCCAGCCTGAGATCTGCAGAGAACGGCTTTCCTCGAACCGTCCAATGCTTTTGCCCTCTACCCTGCTACTCTGCGTTTTAACATTGTCTCTTAAACCTCGGACTTGCTTTTCTACAAAGTGTCCTATGAGCAGAAAGAGCGCAGTGGAGTTGGAAGGAAGAAGGCAGGAGGTGCCCCTGGAGGCCTAGAGGAAAGCAGAAGCTGACGCCGGAGGGCCGCCCGCAGCCGAGCCTGGCCCCGGCGAGGTCCAGCCCTCTGGCTCCACCTAGCGGGGAACATGCGGGTGGCAGGGAGGACCCCCATTACCCCGCGCGCCTCTGGGTCCTGTGCACCTCCCTTCCCTGTGCACCCTCCCTGGACTTACGTGATTGTCACTCCCCTTCCAGAAGTAGAAGGCCCCGATGGCCCCGAAGAGCAGCAGCACCGCCCCCGAAATGAGGACCACAGCTCCGGCCTTGAGCAGCCGTGCGGGGCTGGAGGGCTTCACGGTTACTGCGGCGTACGCCTGCGGGCGAGGACCGAGGGGGGCGGATCACATCTGCGCCACCCGCACCCCGAGATCCCGGCGCAGCCTCCCCACAGACTAAGGGTTGGGATGGGAAACAGCGCGCCCTGCGTTCCCTCGGGCTCCCCCTTTCGCTGCGCTCCGTCTCGCGGGTCCCTGGCACTCAGGCGCGGGTATCCGACAGGCAAACTCTTCGCGGTGCAGGGCCATCGCCCGGCTGATCTGCACTCCCCGCCGGCCACAGGACGCCCCCCGCTTCCCCTGCACACCCGTCTGTGGACCCCTGCACACGCACACGCGTGGGGCGTCACCATCCGCATATGGGCACCCCAGTTTGCTCCTACCTCCCACATTCAGTGGCACAAATCCCTGACGCCGGGCAGTGGATCCAGACCCTTCCGCGAAGTCAGGGAGCTTAGGCGACGGTGTGGGACTAACCTGGCAGCTGGACTGGGATCCCGGGCGGTACTCACCGGAGGACTGCAGAACTCGACGTCGTCTGGCCCTACCAGGGCGATGGGAACTTTGTCAGAGTTCTCCGCCATGGCTGCTGCCAAAGGAGCAAGAGTCTGGGAGGCTGGCGCTCGCCCTGGGTTCTGTCGAGCTGCCCCGACGTGCAAGGCTTCCAACTCCTCACACGCGTGCACACACGGTGCCCTGTCCCGCCAGGGCCAGCCCCGCGGTCCCCACCCCTTCCAAAGCCTCACCTCTCTCCTCCCTTTCCTCTCCAGGCGGAGCAGCAGAGTGAGCTTGTCCTGCATTCAGCACACACCTTCTCCTTTTCTTGTCCACTGACATCCCCCCCCCCCCCACATCCTAATAAACCTGAATGTGTGACGGGTGGGGGCAGGGAGGGGGTAGGTGGGTGAGTAGACCAGGATGCTGAGTCCTGCCACCCCAAAATATGCTAAATTGCCAGGACCCTTTCTACCATCCAGGGACCTCTTAAAATGTCAGAGGGCTCTGTTGTGGCACCTGGCTGGAGGCCCATCTCCTGCAGTGTTTTGGGGAGATGGTGGAACAGAGCAGAGAGGAGAGCAGGGTCATGCAGGTGCACAGGGACACTGGCCAAAGTTTGACAGGTTTACACCAGTCTGGAACTGCTGGATGGCCCCTGGGATTAGAACATCTTAGAGGTGGCCCCTTGTCACCAGTTTCTCTAGGAGGTTTAGGAGAGCCAAGCCCAGGGGCTGGAGAGAAGGGGTTGGGGAGATCAGAACAGAGTGCATTCTGGTTGGTCAAGTTAAACAAACAAACAACAGTGGCAGAATCTTTTCTCCAGACACTGATACATATGTCCAAAGAATAACTAGAATTTTATATATATTTTCAAAAGTGTAACAGGAGAGAGTTTTTTCACTTTGGGAAATGCCATCTGCCGGTACTTGGATGCCATGGTACCTCCTTTGGATCCAAGCTTCATTAGTTCACGCTGGCTTCTAGCTTTGTGCAGAATTCTCTGCTGAGGAGTAAGGGGTGGGTTACATGGGGCGGGGGGATGGGGGGCTGAGCTCCCTTGAGCAGAGGCATTGGATGGGCAGGAATATCCATTATGAGCGATGCTGATGAGAGGGAGCATGAGGGTTGAGCATGATGACTCTGTGGCTGGGAAGGAGGGGAAGGAGACTTCCGCAGAAGAGTCCTAGGACTTCGCCAGCACGGGGCTGGGGATACTGAGGTGGTAGGCTGTGGGGGAGGGAAAATTAACTTAACTCCTACATTTCTAAGTTCTTTTGGCAGGACTAATAATCATATTAACATGAGACAGATTAACAGGAAAAAATACGCAAAATGTTTATGTATGTTTATTGAGGGGCTACACAAGAATATGAGACCTGAAGACAGATGGGGCAATGGAGGCGTATATGCCATCTGGAGCTAAGGAGGTGGGGTGGAGTGGGCGAGGATGATGATGTGGTTTGTGACTTTAGAGGGCAGGAAGGCAAATCAAACGTTTGTCAGCACCTGTTTGCTGGGCTGGCTTGAACAATGGGTCACAGAGCGGACTTAATTAAAAGGACCTTATGAGGTCCCTCCCTGTCTATCACATTTAGTTTATATTAAACTGCAGTTATCTATAGTGATATTGCCCTCACTGGTACAGGTCCTCTAGCTAAATTTTTTTTAAGGCTGCTGGGGGAAGGTCAGAGGTTTTTCTTGAGCTGTTTGTTTCTTGAAAATAACCAGTTTAAAGTAATCAATATCCCAAAAGACATATTTTGAGGTGGCAAATTCTGCTCCCCCTGAAGCCCTAGGAGGACTGGGAGAGTGGTAGGAGTCAGTGGGGAGGAGCACTTTTGAGAAAGCAGATATGGTAAGACTCATTTTAGACACATGGAGCTTGATGTAGGGGGTGAAAAAGAAGGGGGCGTCCTGAGCCCGCCTTGAATTCAGACAAGGCTGCCCTAGTCTGCACATCCCACTAGATGTAAGGTGCTGGGAACCCCCATGATGACTCCAGGAAGGGATGGTCTCCAGGCACTGCTGGGGCAGAGTTCAAAGACTGGCTTTCCCAAGGGCACTTGTCATAGGACTGTCAGAAGGAATAAGGGAAGTCCCCGTCAGAGGAGTTGGGAGATGATCCAAGATAAAGTCATGATGGAAGAAAAGAGCGGAGTTCAGGAAGGATGGGTCAGCCGTGTCAAATGCTGAGAAATGGAAGCCAGAGGCCGCTGAGTGTCACGATGAGGAGGGCATGGGAACCAGACAGAGCTTCACTGGCTTTGCTGGCACAGGAGACGTACCACAAAGGGTTATAGAGCGGCTAAAGTGTTTGCAGCGCACACCACAGTCAAGGAACTAGTTTTCTTATACAGAGTTCTTAGGAATCCTTAACAGACCAACAATGTAATAGAACAATGAGCAAAGGACAGGAACAGACAATCCACAGTAGAAGAAATTCAAATGACTCTTAAACACAAGAAAAATGCTTGACCCTATTCGTAAAAATAAATGCAAATTAAAACTATCCTTTTTCACCTATCAGACTGGCAAAAATAAAAACACTTGTTAAAACAATCTGTTGGAGGGTATGAAGGAAATGAGGCCCTCCCGTATATTGCTGTGGGTGGGTGAATTGGTACAACTTTTATGGAAAGCAATTTAATTCCAAAATGCAAATGTAATTTCATTTCTGTGGATTTAGCCCACAGATGCACTCATGGGGTGGAAGAATTCTATGTGTGCAAGGATGCTCATTGCAGCATGATTGTTAGGACAAAGGACTGGAAACATCTCCAGTGTCCAAGGCAGGGAATTCACGGTACATCCTCATGGGGTTCTTATGTAAAAGAATAGAGCAGCTTTGGATATACTCATGTAGAACTCTTAAGATATTTTATTTATTTATTTATTTTTAATTTAAATTTTATTTTTGTTACAGATGTTTCTCCTTTTTTACCCCAATAACACCCTCCTCCACATCCCCCCCCCTACCCTGTCCCTGGCTTTGTTATCCATGCCATTGGTTATGCATACATGCATATAAGTTCTGTGGTTTATCTCTTCCTTCCCCCCACCACCTCCTCTTCTGAGGGTTGTCAGTCTGTACCCTACTTCCACGTATCTGGGTCTACCCTATTCCTCAGACTGTTATGTTCACTATATTTTACAAATAAGTGAGATCATGTGGTATTTGTCTTTTTCTGCTTGGCTTGTTTCGCTTAGGATAATACTTTCCAGGTCCCTTCATGTCGTCTCAAAGGATAAGATCTTTCTTTCTTACAGTGCATGGTACTCCATTGTGTATATGTACCACTGCTTTTTTATCCATTTGTTTACTGATGGACACTTGGGCTGTTTCCAGATCTTAGCTATTGTAAATAGTGCTGCTATGAACATGGGGGTACATATATTCTTCCTGATTGGTGTTTCAGGCTACATAGGGTATATTCCTCGAAGTGGGATCACTGGGTCAAATGGCAATTCAATTTTTAATTTTTTGAGGTAGCACCATATTGTTTTCCATAGTGGCTGCGCCAGACTGCATTCCCACCAGCAGTGTATTAGAGTCCCCTTTTCTCCACACCCTCGCCAACAATTGTTTGATGATTTGTTGATGGAGGCCATTCTGACAGGTGTGAGGTGATCCCTCATTGTTGTTTTAATTTGCATCTCTCTGATGATTAGTGATGTTGAGCATTTCTTCATATGTCTCTTGGCCATTTGTATGTCCTGTTTAAAGAGGTGTCTATTCAGCTCCTCTGCCCATTTTTTAATTGGGTTCTTTGTCTTCCTTTTGTGGAGTTGTATGAGCACTCTATATATTTGGAAATTAACCCCTTATCTGATGTATCATTGGCAATGATGCTCTCCCATACAGTGGGTTGCCTTTCCATTTTGATGGTCGTTTCTTCTGCTGTGCAGAAGCTTTTTAGTTTGCTGTAACCCATGTGTTCATTTTTTCCTTTGTTTCTGTTGCCTTCGGTGATGTATCAGTGAAAATTCTGCTCCGAATGATGTCCAAAATTTTGTTGCCTATATTTTCTTCTAGAATTTTTATGGATTCACGGGTCACCTTTAAGTCTTTTATGCATTTTGAGTTTATTTTTGTGTATGGTGTAAGTTGATGGTCTAATTTTTTGCATGTAGCTGTCCAATTTTCCCAACAGCATTTATTAAAGAGTCTGTCTTTACTCCACTGTATACTCTTGCCTCCTTTGTCAAATATCAATTGAGCGTAATGACTTGGCTCCATTTCTGGGTTTTCAGTTCTGTTCCACTGGTCTATATGCCTGTTCTTGTGCCAGTACCAGGCTGTTTTGATTACAGTAGCTTTGTAGTATAACCTGATATCTGGTATTGTGATCCCACCTACTTTGTCCTTCGTTTTCAAGATTGTGGAGGCTATTCAGGGTCTTTTTTGGTTCCATATGAACTTTTCTTTATCCTTACCCGAGGACATTTTTTCCCATTTTTTGTTAAGATAGAGTGGGAGGGAGAGAGAGGGAGAGAGAGAGAGAGAGAGAGAGAGAGAGAGAGAGAGAGAGAAACATTGATGTGAAAGGGAGACATCAAGTGGCTGCCACCTGCACGACCAACCAGGGCTGGGGACAAACTGCAACCAAGGAACGCGCCCTTAGCGGGAACCGAACCCAGGTCTCTCTGGAGGGCAGGCTGACGCTTTAACCGCTGAGCCAAACCGGCCAGGGCTCCATATGCACTTTGAAGTATTTGTTCTAGTTCTGTGAAATATGTCGTTGGTATTTTGATGGGGATTGCATTGAATCTATAGGTTGCTTTGGGTAATATGGACATTTTAATGATGTTAATTCTTCCAATCTATGAACAAGGTATGTGCTTCCACTTTTTTATGTCTTCCTCTATTTCTTTTTTCCTGTAGTTTTCTGCAAATAGGTGCTTTACTTCTTTGGCTAAGTGTATTCCTAGGTATCTTAATTTTTTTGCTGCAGTGGTAAAGGGGATTGTTTTTTCAGTTTCTCTTTCTGTGAGTTCATCATTGGTGTATAAGAATGCCGTTGAATTCTTGACGTTAATTTTGTATCCTGCTACTTTGCCAAATTCATTTATTAAGTCTAGTAGATTT